CATCTGACTTAATCAACAAATACAGAGCAAGCTCTATACGATGAAACGCTCCTTTGCTTTCTTTGCATCCTTTTTTTTGGGGGGGTGCACTCACCCCTCACCACCAAAAAGCATCAGCTCACAAGTTTCGCCATCAGAGAGGCGAGCTGTGGGAGCAGCACGCGGTTTGTATTCAGCGTGTGTGACAGGCGGCAAAACAGCAATCTTGTCTTTGGAGAGAGACAATGATTCCGCCGCTGCCATGTTGTGCACACAAATGTGCTGCAGGCATCAGTCCTGAAATCTGTCACCTTGCCGCTCGGTGAGTCGAAAAAAAAATGCCAGAATTAAATAAACAAACAAATAAATAAATAAATAAATGAAAACGGCTCCTGCGGTGGCTGTTTGATTTTTTTTTTTTTTTAATGTGCGCGACGCGCCTCTAAAAGTCTGCTTGAGCTTCTTCATCCTCCCAATGCGACCGCGAGACAGACAGAACGCTAAATCACCACCCAAAGAGGTTGTACCCGCTTGATTACGTATTTAATCATTTGACGTCGTAATGACAAAACTTACATTCCCTGTGTAACTGTCATAACTCCGCTTGCTTTATCTTTCCACCCATGCGGTCTTCCGGCGGTCCCTGCAGGGTTATGTCATTTCTCCGTCGTTAAAAATTGTGGAGATGAGGTCGTAAGAATCACTCCGAATTTCTCTGAGAGGGAAAAAAAAAAAAAGAAATAAATGAATTGCAGAAATGTTTTAAAGGGAAATATTGAGTGATGTCAGATTGTCCTTGCAGATTTCTCATCTTCACGTCTATCAAAATTTTACATCTTAAGTACTCCAAAATGCATGCAGATGAGGTTTGGCGGTTTAACGTCGTCTTTAAAAAGTCAAGGTTAACGACAGCGTGGGTCGGAAGTGGTTCAATAGAACAATTTCAAATAATAAATAAATAAATAATGAGGACCATGAAAACTCTATAAAGCACATCAATTGAATATTCGTTGAATTTCCTTTGAAGGGTTGGACGAGATATAATAAAGAAATATTTAAATACGACTGCTGCAAGGGTTAGTACGATGGCTACTCAGTTCAGAAAAATGGAGTTTAACCCACCTCAAAAGTAAAGAGAAAAAAAAATCTGCATACAGATGATCCCTAACCTGGAATATGCGCTGGTAAGTGTACTTTGTCCCACCCCAAAAACAAAAAAATGCCACTTTTGGGTGGGCGGTGTTAGAGTTTGTCATTATCTTTGCTTTATGTGTAAAAGAGTGAATTAAAAAAAAAAAAAGGCAAAAATTGGCACAAAAAAATAGACGAATTTTGCCGATTTAAAAAAAAAACTAATATCGGCTGATTAAATCAATAATTATAATAATGCTAATCATCATAATTATTGTTATTTAATGTTCAACTTTATTTTCCTACAACACTTGGATTCAGCTGCAGTTGTGGTTTTTTTTTTAATCTCCTTTTTTTTAAAGTGCGTACTAAATAAATAAAATTGAGTTAAGATAGTGAGTCAAATCATCAAAACAGGTCACACACGCCCAGCATGTGCACAACCATCCATGTCTAAGCTCCCACGACAGGCGAGACAGAAAGTCATCGTGACCGGCGCAGAGTAAAGACACACGTGAAAAGTCATTATTTCCTGCATGCCACGATCTCCATTTTAATGGCCCGGCGCCGCATTACAGTCAAGACTCCGGCTTTTTAGCTTAGTGTTCTCCGTGATTGAAATTCCAAGTCAGCCATCAATCTGCATTATGGACTGGTTTCCCCTTGTCTGGCGCGGGCTAACTGAAACAGATTGAGACAGCTCCCGCTCGCTGCATCGCTAATGGCTGCCAATGAAAGCCATCTCTGTGCTGTTGACCCCGAACGCGGATCGCGATCAGCCATGAGGAGAACGCGGCTCAATATAAGGAGTCTCTTCGGCATCGCTCACCAGTGAACGGCATCCTCGAACCGACGTCGCCGTTGCCCAGAAATAGAATCTAATCACCAGATGCAAACGGGCCACACTTCTCCTAATGCTTTACCATTAGGTGTCTGGAACCGAGCCCAAAGTAGAGAAATAGGACAGCACGCGCCCTGGCGGGTATATTGTTTAGCCATAATGACGTCCCAATTATCTTCCACCGTAGTGCCGACACCTGGACGTTTTTACACAGCAACGTTGGGGGCGAGCTCACCGAATAAATAATGCTCACCTCTGGACTTCTCGTTATTTGATGCCGGATAATAACCTGATTGCTCGGTGTAAAACCAAGCAGTGCTTTACAGATGAGGCGAAAATTGTAAAAGTAACAACGCGTAAGGGGTGACCCATTCCATTCGCAGACTGTCTGATGCACTCCAAAGCAACATGGTGACACTCTAACTTAAAGTCGGGATTCTCAACCCCTTTTTGATGGTTTGCAGACAGGTGGTCAAAATGACGTGTTTGTGTTGTTTTTTTTTTTTTGTTTGTTTTTTTTTCCAGTACAATATCGAGACTGCGGCCCGGTGACCCAGTGGTGAGCGCGTCGACCTCACAGTGAAGAGGTACCAGGTTCAATCCCAGCTCCGGCCTCACTGTGTGGAGTTTGCATGTTCTCCCTGGGTCTGCGTGGGTTTTCTCCGGGTACTGCGGTTTCCTCCCACATTCCAAAAACATGCATTGAACACTCGAAATTGTCCCAAGGTGTGAGTGTGAGCACGGATGGTTGTTCGTCTCTGTGTGCCCTGCGATTGAGTGGCAACCGGTTCAGGGTGTCCCCCGCCTACTGCCCGAAGACAGCTGGGATAGTCTCCAGCACCCCCCGCGACCCTTGTGAGGATAAGTGGATCGGAAAATGAATGAATGAATATCAAGACTTTCCCACATGGAGTGTGATCGGGAAGCAACAGGAATTGTGTCACTTTTACTCCGTACACAAAAACAGTGCAGCTCAGTCTTTGGCTTGCGAGTGTCATTTGTAAGAAATATTTTTTTGGGGCAGTACAGACAAATTAATTTCAAACGGCATTTAAAAATAGAACATATAATCTGCATGTCTTTTCAAAGGTTTTTGCAAACTCTGTTTGGATTTGTGACAACGGTTGAGAACCTCTGATCTAAAGTAACACCCGCCAGCTATTTCCAATCGGGAAAGGCACAATATCATCGAGGGAGCAACAGGGAGCTAACGGATTTACTCCTTAATTTCACACTTGAACCAGATGTCAAAAAGATACATACAAAGTAGAATGCAGAGGTGGCAAAATTCCTCACACTCTGCTCTGCCGATACTTGCATTAAATAAAACCTACTGATTCAAGTAGAAGTACCGATTTAACTTCATTTTACCGTTTAATGAATAATTCCAAAAAATGGACCACAATGATCCCAAAAACATTTAATATTTCAAATTCATCTTAAAAACATCCACTGTAGCTAAAAAAAAAAAAAAAAGACTTACAGATCATTTTATTTTGAAGCCGTGACTTCCACTAACAACCCAGGCTAAATTGAGCTCCTCCCCCAACATACATACAGCTTGTCTTCTCAGTCGAGATGCATCACTTCAACATACTTCCTTACTTTACTACTTTCCTATTTTAACAGGGCTTTGGCAGCATCCTGTGGCTTCTATAGATGCACCCAAAACACGTTTATTTATTTATTTTTTGCTTAATAGCTTGTGGGATAGAAACATTTGGAATTGGTGAATTTGTCAGTGGTGAGCTGCACGTATGCGGGGGCAGTTTTTCACTGTGCTGTCAGTGTCTAAAAATAACGGTTGTTTTTGTGTCCATGGCCTGAAGTCATTACCTGGGTGGCATAATCGACGGTAATTGATTTCTGGAGACTTGTAATAATGGGAAAAAAAAAAAAAAAACTCAGCACGCATCATCCATAAAGGTGACAACTGTGGGAGGCTTGGTGATATTACCTCAAACGTCTCAAGGGAAGATTGGTTGATTGATTGAAGATCTTTAATTACTTTGTGTGATGATGATGATGATGTCACACATGATGTCATCCTGGGATTCTCTTGATTCCAAGCAGATTGTTAATAAGCCCCTACACTAAGTGAGGGACCACTTTTAAGACACCAGTTGTGGGAAGTCACGAAGCACATACTGTGACCTAAGCCCCTACACTAAGTGAGAGACCACTTTTAATACCAGTTGTGGGAAGTCACGAAGCACATACTGTGACTATAATTTGGTTTATGCGAGCTTAATGCTAACATTCAATGCACAAAGCTATAAACGCATTAATAGCCGCCCCCTTAAAACCCACTAAGCCATGAATATTTTGATCCTAAACGGTGTAGGCAGACAATATAACATTTTCAGGCATATATGCTTTATCCTCTGCTAAGAGCGACTAGTCTTACAGCTGTTTACTGAGTCACGCAGTAGTTGGGAAAGTCCTCTTTACTTTTGTCTTCAAGATGTTATTATACTGCCACCCGGTGGCCAAGTTGCACACACCAGAAGGAATCGCAATGAATTCATCTTTACTTTGTATTATTCCAATGTGTTTAATCAAGAACAAAATCATGAAGTGCTATTTTCCGAATTAAAACACATTCTGCTCTCTTTTTCTTTCTTTTTTTGTTTTTGTTTTTTAGCTCTGGGTGCTGGAAGGGCTTCATGGCATTTCCATTCCCCAAGCGTGGCCATGCAACAAATTAAATTCGTATCTCAAGGCAGCACAGTATATATATATTTTTTTCATTTTGCGCTTATTAGCTATTCAGCATCAGCTCAAATCATTATCGAAGTTCGGGGAACACATTTTTATAAAAAGCTTGAGCCAACACTAATAAAACAGAGTGAAAAGGAAACCGGCACTGCATATAATTAAGATTAACATTCATTTTGACTTGTGGACAAGCTAAAAGTCACAACAGCAGTTTTTTTTCCCTTCACTAAAGTTGAATCAGTACTTCTAAGGTTTTTGTCACACAAGTATCGATACTGCTACTTCTGTACAGCGTGAGTACTTTTGCCACCTCTGTTAAAAAAAATAAAATAAAATAAAAAAATCACCCTGGCTGATGCAGAATCCAGCCTCCAGCTCCTCCTCTCTCTCATCAGGAGGGGAACACGAGCCGCCCGCACCGCCCCTTCGCACATTCACCGGCTCCACTCCACGAGGTGGATGAAACACAAACGCACCACTGTCGCCCACCTACCCCCCCTCAAAAAAATGAAGCCTTTCTAACACCGTTTTAGCATGGCGCCGCGATACGCTTTTTGCCTTTTACTGCTTTTCTCCTCCGAGTGGACGCGTGTCTCCTCCATCTCAACTTGCACGCCGGACGTAAGGTGCAGTCTCTCGGGTCATTTGGCGCACATCAGCGCGCCCCCCCGGGAGCTCCTGGCGCAGGATTTGGCGCATTTTGGAGCGCTTCCAGTCGGGGACTTTGTCGGATCGCCCGGAGGCGACGGCAGCTCCGAAGTCACGGCTGCGATCGCGGGAAGTTCACCCAAAGTCGAGGCACCACCCGCGCGGCAAGAAGACGCGTGTTGCCCCCAAGAAAATGCGTCGGACTATCAAGCAAAACTTTCGCCGCCTGACAACCAAAACGACGTGGACGGCGAGGAAAACGGGGATGATGTGGATTCAACCGCGGATGAGAACCGGAGGGGGAGAAGCGCGAGGGGCGCAGAGACTTGGGCCGATGTGGGAGGCGAGGGCGCGCACGAAGCTTCGTTGCCCGACCCGGTGGAGGTCCAGCTGGCCAGCTCCACCTTCGCCCTGGCCGGGGACACCGCGCACAACCAGGCGATGGTGCACTGGTCCGGCCAGAACAGCAGCGTGAGTGTCTTCGTTCGAGACGCGCTCGGGATTTACGCACGGACGTGTTTTGACGCAGTGTGGGGGCTCACTTTTGGCTTGAAAGAAGCATGCATAGTTACGTTAAGACGAATGAAACGTCAGACGTTACTGGATATCAAATGTCAGCACGTCCCCGTTTTTCCCTCCTTTTTGAATGTCTTGTTTCCCATCACCTTGATTGAGCCAAGGCGCATTTCTTACATGAGGAAAACACGTGAGGCATAACACCAGTAAAAACTGATCACCAACTTTGGTTAATAGCCACCAAACAGCATTAAATTGTTCTGCTTATCACGACATGTCATTGGTGTAGAAATATTCACAAAGATACATTATTTGACACGCGCAAATAATCTTTTTTCAATTTCCCACAGCACACTGGTTGCGAATAGCCGCACTATAACATCTAACACGCACAAAATGCAGAACATTTACTTCATATTGATTTATAATATATATATATATATATATAAAACGTTTTTTTTTAGCTGTTAATAATAACAATAATAATTTTTAAAAAGTTATTATTGCGGGTTCAATGTTGTGTAACTGCACTGCATCACTCTGCCAGCTCAATAAAAGCTCCAAAATCTCGCAAACAAAGCCTAAGTGCAAACCGCAACTCATAAACATGCAATGAGTGCCTCTCTGACAGTATCCATCAAACTGAGTGATTGCAGGTGTACCTAATGATGTGGCCCCCGAGCGTTAATTCTCCTTAATGAAGCGCCCTTCGGTAACTCGGTTAGTTCCATTCAGTCTGTGTGATTATGTGCTTTTAAAAATTCAACAGGCCACTTGAGAGCAAGCCAGGCACTTCTAGTGATGTTGATGGCACAAAAAGCTGCCGAGTAGCCTCTTTGGAGATTTCTGCACCAGCAGGGGGGCTCAGTTCAAATCATTTCGATAGATAAAGGGTTGTGTGTGACATTCAGGCTCAGCGGAATATGCTGCTATTGCTGCTGCTGCTTCTTTTTTTTTTTTCTTTGTCTGTCTTTTGTCAGGAAACCAAGCAGCAGAATCAGGGCAGCAGGTCCTGGTAACCCCCTTAATAGACTTTTCGTGTAGACTGGTGAGAAGGGCACTAGGTTATCGAGGCCTCTTGAAAGATGCATGAATGTGTTTTAAGGAGGCTTGCTCGCTTACATCTGACATGGTCTCACTATAGAGGACACACCAGGTTGGTCTCAAAGTGCAATCGAGTTGGAAGGCAATGCAGCATCCCAGACAGGAGGAGTTCATGATCCAATTCAGTGTTTCTCAAACTTTTTACACAAGTACCACCAAAATAAACAACATTAATAGATACTATTTTAGTAGGCCTAAGTATACATAAGAAAATAGACAACGGTTTTATTCATAGTGTCATACACATAAAAGATAAATGAAAATTGCACTGAAATACAAAAACAAAGCCTTTCTCAAAGACTAAACGTAATGGCATTCAACTTCAAAGTTAAATACAACTGAAATGTACTCAGATCAGTGAGTGGGAGCCAGAGTTCGAAGCAAACATGGTGAAACAGCATTTAGTTGTTCTGCTGCATGCAAATGGAATAAGCTGCCAACAGAACTGAAGTTAAAAATGATTTTTTATTTTTTTTTTTAATGCCCCTATTATTCTTAAATGTACTTTTGATTTTGTGGAGCACATTGAGTTACCTTGTGTATGAAATGCTTGATATGAAATGAAAGCTCCCTTCCTTGCCTTGTCTTAACAAATGTACTTTGGTGGATCAAAAATGTTTAAGGCACTACAAGGCTGCAGCTCCCATAAAGCAGATGACGCACTGTGTGACGGGCCCAATCAGCCATTTGGGGAATCACCCCTCCCCCCACCCCTTCCCAAATCTACCAAATGTGTTGTTGCATGACCAATTGCATTTGCACGTTGCCGTCGCTTGTCATCGTCTTCCAAATTTTCAGTCAGCACCCCCACGCCAATTTTGTATTCAGCCAGTCCTCCCTCAAGTTTCTCCAGTTGGTCCAAAATGCTGCTGCTTGCCTCCTAACTGGAGCGCATAACTCCATTTGTGGCCAATTGCTTTTTAAAGTGCTCTATAAATAAAGTTGCGTTATCGCGGGTTTGACTTGATCGGGAACGTAAACCCCGCGATGGAGCATGGTTTACTGTATAGGCAAGTCTGAATTTCGAGTGACTCAGTCCACCGGACTGCAGTTAGATGTAGCATAATTAAGAGGCAGGGACGGTCCCCAACTAAGCTCCAGTGACAGTTGTTGTCCTCCGTCGGTATTGTCCTATGCTCTGTTTGTATGTGTTGCTGCTCGGCGTGAAGGTTTCCTTTTGCCGTAAAATCGATGCTAATTCCCGTCGGCTCCTCGATGGAATTTCACATTGTTAGCATGAAAAATAAAAAGCTTTTAGCAAACGCGCATTGTCTTTTAATCAGAGGACCGTGTTCGTGAGCGTCTTCTTTTTATTTCCTGAAAGTGATGCTGTCTAACAGTCTCCCAAGACAGAATGTTTGATACAACTCATGTATTGGATCTCATTAGAGCGCGCAGTATCTGGGGATTGCAGCGGTGCTAGCTTTGTTGCCCATGTATTAAAATACTATTTGTGTGTGCGAGTGCAATTTTCACCTCGCTGAAGGGATCGTTGCTCTTGATTTTTAATTTTCCTCATCATTTCAAGGTAGTGTTGCGTGTGCACATCTTATCTGGTTTCTCGGTCGGGGCGTCGCGTCCAATGTTTCCATTTAGTTGCGCCCGATGCGTTCAGAGTCGCCGCACTAATCAAACAACATGCTTCAAGGTTTTGCAAGTGAGCCCGCCGAATACTCAAAAGAGGAGTTTGAGTGTTTTCTTTATTCAGAAAGTGAAATGTAAGTTTGATGGGGGAGGGGGTGCGTAGAGGTGGTGTTCTGGCACGGCCTTAAGCTGAAATGATTTACCAGCAGCAGCGCATTTCATTGCTTCTCTTGCCAAAAGGGTGATTCTCATCTATCTCAATATTGAGCTGATCCCAGAAGCTTGTGGCTTCTTAAAAACTTTTATGTCGGCATAGTTTGATGGGTTTATCCATCTTTTGGCTCACTTATCACGGGGTTAAAAAAAAACAAAAAAAAACCGTCTTTTTTCTTGCCCCGAGCAGCCCCGGAGAAACCTTTGGCCAGATTTTAATAAGTTGCCTTCATCTCCCCTGCCTTAAACATTCAGGTCCAGTTCTGCTCCTCAATTAATGTGCTGAATTTTAAATGGTCTGTTTTTAACCCGTCTCGCCAGCTTCCTTCTCATCACGGCTTGTCTTGTTACGTGATGGATGGAGCGTCACAAAGTGTAACACTAACAAGTCTGAGTATCCTAATTTTTTTTTTTTTTAGTGCCAACCAGCTGCATTTTTAATGCCTTTCAGGCCATTTCCCACCAGTGAAATTTGGTCTGATAGTCAGTTTGTTGCCTTTTTCATCATCAAAAGCTACAAAGTCGCCCACACCTTTTTTACTTTTCACCACCCCTCTCCGTAAGGGGATTTTTTTTTTTGTTGCAAGTGATAACACTTACTTTGTATGATTCTTTCGACGCCATCACCTTTGTGATACGACATCTAAATGCAAGAACTTAATCCCAACATTGTCACTCGCTTTTCTCAATAAATTGGATGCGGTTCATTGCACATGCAATGCTCTGCCGCTGCATCACGTTCGGTTGAGGCAATTTTATTTCTGATGAGTTTTTACAGTCCTGTAATGCGCTTTTTATATGGGAAAGAGGACACTCACCGAGGCGCTGCTGTAAGCCACAGCTCTCACCCAGACACTCGCAGGCAGACTCGCTGATGTCACACGCTACCCCACCAGGCCCCGCCTCTTAAAGGTACAAGTTGTATGCAAATGTTTACAATGTATTTTAATTTTTTATGGCAAGTATGAGAGGAGAAATATGAATAGTTTTGGGTCTCTATATCTCAAATTTTCACCTATTGCAAGTCTGGAATTTGAACTCACGCTAAAGTGTATTTAAAAGTTGTTAGTAGCAAATTTTGGGGTGAGCAGACCTTTTCTTTAGCCCAAATTTAGTGGAGTAGTACATTACCTGGTAAGTACATGTATTTTCCAAGTTTTTTTTGTTTTTTGGATTTGATTCAGTCTAAAAGTTCAACATTTCAATGGGCCGAACGGGCGAAAGACCTCCAAAACACATCATATCTTGACTTTGAATCAGTCAAATGGCAAATGTTAAGCGATCGATTCACATGGCGCCGCAACAAAGCTATTGTCCACCGAGGATAAATGATCACGTCAATGGTCGGCGGAAGGGGGAGTTTCAGAGCGGATGCAAATGTCATGCAGCAGTTTAGCCCAATGCTGAACCCTGCGCACGTAGCCAACATTTGACTCTTCAAGAACATGCTTGAGAGGACGTCGAAAACCAATCAGCTGTGTTGGATGATGTATGGCGGCGCGTGAACTTTAGTCTTACATCATCCCGGGAAGCCAACTTGGAAGGTAATGAGGGCTGACACGCAGGAGAGTGACACTTTACAAGAGGAGGAAGAGGATTCTGCCGCACGTTTGCAGTAAAACATGGCGTATTCTTCGGAAGCCTTTGCTAGTTTGAAAGGCAGTTCACAGATTTGTTCCAACTACATCTTACAGTGGCACCTCTACTTAACGAACGTCTCTTCATATGAACATTTTCAAGTTACGAAACGCCTCAACAGGAAGATATTGCCTCTTGTTACGAAAGAAATCTCAAGATACCAAAGGTAGCTCGCAGCTCCGAGTTTCCTGAACGCAACATACGTATAGTTGCTTTCCTGTATGTGTCTATGTGTAGATGCAGCGTGCTCGTCATTCGCCCTTTGGGCCATGAGGCCTTCCGATGAATTTACATAAACGTGAATCGCCCAGAAAAAGTGTTGACCAGTCGGGCGGTCGCTCACTATGTTGACGTTTGCCTTGGACATTTTCGAAGGATTGCTAAAAGGCGACAAAAGCCAACATCCTTGGATCATT